GAGAATACAAAAGTGCTCCTCGCCCTCTTTATATACTAATACTTCCCGCCGAAACTGCGCCTCTTCGGCGGTCGATCACTCCCTGACCTATCACGGGTTCGATCTCCCTCATGCCACAGCAGCATTTTGGGCGAATTTCCTTTGTTATCAGTATACAGCCCTATGAGATCTATAGAAAGGTGAGACATTCAAGAATGTCGTAGATAAGTTCAATATTGAGCACATTTTATGACAAGCCGTCTTAAAGTTTGCTCAGCACTTCCGACCCACTCCCCCATTTCATAGTCTCCATTTCTGATGCCACTTTTTGGGAAGCTTCAACATGAAGTGTTAGCGTGTTTAGGGTCCTATTCCAGGAAAATTCAATCAATCTCAATTTTATAAACTTGGGAAGTTTTTTATTTCAACAAAACTATTTACACTGGATTGGCTTCCCTAATTTTCTGAAAATCTTCCGGAATTATTGTCAGAAAGCTGAAAAACATGTACATTCTCATCCTTGATTGGCATAGAGGCTAGAGAAGAGAATGTACACTTTTTGTCGCTGCCATCTAATTTCATACTTTAAGGCTGGAACTATCATGCTCGTAGACTTATGTAGCCGCAAATGTGTTGCTGAACTAAGTGCTCCGCAAAGCATACATGAAGTGGAAATCTTGCAAAATGATGACAGTAGCGATGTTCTTGTACGTTTCACTTCTTAGTGGATGTAGATACGTTTGTTTTTTTTTNTTTTTTTTTATAAAGTTTCATGCAGGGACACTAAATTTATGTGGTTTATAGCTTACAAGCTTCACAGGAGCACAATGGATTATCCCCCTCGAAAATGGAAGTCGTAGCGTAACAGAAGTGCTTACGGCGTGTATTCCATCAGAATTCAAAAAAGTGGGTTCTGTTACATAGGATGGAGTTTCTTCCCTCGATTTCAGAAAATTGTAACAGTTAAGGTTGAACCTCCTACATCGCATCTCAATTTATCCACTGAGGGCATCACAATTTTGGATACTGGTGGAAGTTTCGTTGAACTACACTCTGATTTACCATCACTCGCTAGTGTACCTAGAAAGCGCTTCAAAGTGAGCAGATTTCCATTTTCGTCGGTATTCACATTGATACTTTTGTATCGCTTGGTGTATTAGAGTTTCTTCTATATTGCTGTACGTTTTCTTCTCGCTTTTCGAGTTAAAATCAATCTTTCAAGAGTAGGTGCTACTGCAGGTACCTCCTGATACTTGGTTGATACACTACACCGATAGCGTTCTCTTCGCGGTCTCAAAGCAGTCTGAAGTGCGAAGTGCAGTGCATTTTGGAGTGAGTTATGTGAGTGTTTCCTTGCTTGCTCCTTAAGTGATGCCTGCTTTTTCAGATAAGCGCAGTGCGGTTAGAGTTTTCAATAGTGAAAGGAGCGTGTGAATGGCGACCGTTAGGATTTGTGCCACTTTCTCATCGAGCTGCTCGTCTTCCATCTTGCCTGATCATCAATGAACGCGGCCTGATCCGAATTGCGCAGAACTCTGCTAGGTATGAGGTTTTGAAAAAGTTTTCTCTTCATCTACACTTATAACTTTGCTGTTCTTCGGCAGCTTCAATACTGAGTAACACAGCGACTCTAACACTGCAACGCGGCTGTCCTGCCTCCTTGAGGGAGTCGTTGTTTGTCCATGTAGCTAAACACAAGCTTCCTTCGCTCGAAGCCTGTCATTCGAAAGAAGCCACATAACGATCAATTTTTTTTCCTCATCCTCTTATAGTTCTAGCCAATTTTTCTGTGGCAAATATCTCACAAAAAATATTGTTTCAGTCCTCTGGAGAACGTCGCTGCTGAATTTCTCTTCCGAATCCCTAACTTTTCTCTTGCCTCAATTCAGCACGTTGCCAAAGTTTGCTCCATTGACGCTCCCCAACTTCAGGTAATTTTGGTTTTCCAAACACTCCGTCATTGCTAAGTGACTTTCGCCATTTTTTCTATCAGTTGTAGATTAGTATGCATATCTTTTTGTTCCCGCTTTTGTAGTGTGTTTTTTCTCCAATAATGGTTAGCGAATCATTTTAAAAATTTCGCGCGGAATCATATTTCGTGAGCTGTTAAGCATTTTTCAGCGCAGTGTAATTCCTACTCTATTGTCAGCACGTCGAGGAAAGACTCTCTCGCCTGCGGATCTCGCTCGTCTCCTTTCGATGGCCAAAACAGCAGAGGTTAGTGTTGTTATTTTAATGTATCTTTGGTAAGGGACGGAATATTGACGCGCTCAAGAAGTCGGTATCTTCGGTCGTATTTAAGTGACTGTCTCATTTACTAACAGATTCGCGCTTAATCGCATCAAGACAGTTCAAAGGTCGTTTGGAATACACTACAGTGTACTTGTTTTCTGCCTCTAGTGTACGACATTTAAGTAATCAGTTTTTTGTTTCCTTCGTCTATCTACTCCAATAAAACTGTATATGCCATTTGAATTCTCATCTTTGTTTGTAAAATACATCCAATGATGAAATTCGGCTGGGATCGTAATCAGTTTGACAAATTGAAGCTGATAATCAAGTCTATCCTAGTAAGAGTGACTAGTGAAATAAACTGAATTGATGTTTTAAGGTTGGAATGGAGAGTCTCGTGGACTTGTTTGCCAGCTACCAGCGAGAAGAACAGCTGTTGCCCGAGGTTTGCTTTTGAGTGATCTTGTTTGGATTGCATATTATTGGAATTTGGTTATCGGAAGAGCAGTAATATAATCTTTCGGAAATCAAGGCAACTTCCTGATGTCTCAGTAGTGGGTCAACATTTCGTTGGGCATATAATCTTTTACACGTTTTCGCTTTTGATCAAATTTTCTATTTGCACATCGGGAATGCCCTTTCCTGTGTGAATCTGTGGAAGCAAAATTCACAATCAATTTGGGCTTCTATAACGAAATTTTCGTAGCTTGTAGCGCTTCTTCCGTTTTCTTTTGAAAATTTCATTTTGTCGTATTGCTGCACACATTCAGTTTAAGACTTTAAAGCAGTATAAAGGCGTTGGCCTTCAATGTTTACAATTAATTCAACTTTTCATTGCTTCTCATTCAGATTCTGCGGATTCTAGAAACTGACAGTCGCTCGCCTCTGCGGAAACGTGTTGTTGAGCTATATGTACGTCGAAGTGAGTCCTTAACGACACATCTAAACGAGGATGCGAATCAGATTTCTGAAGCACGTCTGGGTATCGACAATGAACTGAGGTTCCATTTTTTTAGTCGATAAGGTTTTGTCGAAGAAGCAAATCAGTTTTTCAGCGCTTTTCTATCCCGACATGTCGACGTGGACGAAGGGGCGAAAAGTTGCGCTGAGGTTCAGCTATGGAGGAGTGCGACGTTACTTGCATCGCGACGTAGAGCGAGTCAGGTTGAAGTTCTTCGTGTCTTAATTAAAAACGGTTCGAAGTCTTGGTCTTCTGCTGTGCCTTCTATGAGATCCTTGGTGAGCTTTAATTGAAAGTTGTTCGGAAAAGTCTGCTTTTTTGTGGGCTTTCAAAGAGCTGTTGCTTTTAATTGTGTTTTAAGATGATGTCGTGCGCCGCCAACCTTGAATGGGGTGAACTGAGCGATCAGGAAATCGGTGCACTGGTTTCCTTACTGTGTGACTGGCAAGCGGCATTGAATTCCATTGCTCATCATGAAACTTGCCTCAGACTGGCATTAACTTATATGCCTAAGTGAGTTCCACTATCAATCAGACTTCGACTCGTTTCTTACTGAAGATTCCATTTCAGTTTCCCGAAGCATTGTTCTATCCTTTACCTTGTTTCTGCTATGTACATTATTAGTGATAAAGCTGCCTGGACGCAGGTCAGTAGTGCAAAGTGGACTTGTTCTTGTTGCTCTCCAGATTAATAGTCAGTATGCGTAGTATTTAGGAATACGATGCCGCTTGTCGTAGTATCAGTTGTGGTATGAATGGTTCTGCTGCAATTACGGCAGAAGGCCAACTGATCATTTGGGGAGACTTCACAAATCAACAAAATAAACCATTCGAAAATCTAGGTCCTGTCTCTTTTTTATTTCGTGCGAATCATTCCGGATACTTTTTCGAAATTATTACTATGGTGTCCTCTGTTCTAATCTATAACAGTGAAGAAAATCGGAAAGTATTCCAGAGCTGTCCACCAAAAGCCTTCGCAAGCCATCCGAAGCTCCAGCAAGTTTGAAACGTTCACGCACTCAACAGGTGACTTACCGTTCGCCTTCGTTTTCTTTAGGAGGTTTTGGAAGTTGTTTCGGAAAAAAAATGATGGGCTGGTATATCGAAGAACTCTTCATTGTCAGCAATTGATTGGTGACCTTTTAGTAGCATTCTTATTTAGTTGCCTCACCCGATACACGTGGAGGGTCGTCCAAGAGTTGTTTGTTGTGGTGCGGAACATGTTTTAGTGCTTACCAGTGCCGGTACTTTTCTTCTACTTTTGAATATAAGTTACTTTCAATGCATACTCGATCCCTTTTCATGACGTCTGTTTTCGATGGGTCGGAATCGTTTTGGCCAGTGCGGAGTCGGTCATTCGCTGCCAGTTTCTGAGCTGCAGGTGAGTTTGTTATATTGCTTATATGCTCACTGTCGTCTATATTCTCTATTTTGACCACGCTCATTGATATCGTTGTGAAGACAATCTCGGAAAGATTTGGCAGCAGTTGAAGTGACTTCCACCATCGTAGTAACAGTGAATAATACTGCAAACTTTCAGTTGATTGAAGGCGGCTGGGGTGCAGTTCGTGCTTTATCTGCCGGCCAATTCCACTCGGCCATTCTGAACACAAGTGGAGAAGTATGGACTTTCGGATGGGGTGTGTGGGGACAGCTTGGGTTAGGAGGACGCCAAATCAAGGACTGTTTGGTACCTACGAAGGTGCCTGATCTGACGTAAGTTTCAAAATCCCTTCTCAAAGTCAGTTGAGAATGTTCGTTGCTATACCTAGAATAGGAAGGCGTGTATTGGAACAAGTTTCGTATCCAATAGGACCCTATCCCTATGTCGAATATGTTCACCATTTTTCATCGTTTTCCATTGAAGAGACATGTAGCCTACTTTGTAACAACATTCAGCCTTGAAGTTAAATTTTTATTTTTCTCTTTTCAAGACATACACGTTGCTTTATAGTTGTCGTTGATTTCACGGCAAACTCTGCAAGTGATTTTTCATTGTAGGGAACCAATAAAAGAAGTTAGCTGTGGACGTGTACACACTGTTCTTCTCACAGTCTCTGGCAAAGTTCTAGTTGCTGGAAATGGCAGTTATGGGCAACTGGGTACCGACGAGGACGTCAGAAAGCAATACGACTTCCATCTTTTACCCGTGGATCCAAGCTTGAAGGTTTTTTAATATTCTCTCAGCATCTAAAATGAGTGACATTACGATTGCTTTTTATGTTCTACTCATGTCGCTTTTTTAGTTTGTAAAGATCGTAACCGGCTTTTATCTGTCTATCGCTATTACGGAGGATGGGCGTATATTCGAATGGGGCCGCAATCCACAAGAAGTAAAAATGCGCATGTTTGTCACGAGACGGCTTCGTATGGCGCAGTTGAAAAGAATTGCAGATGAAGAAGGAGATGAGATTGTTCGTTTTTAAGGCTATGAAAATTCCCTTTTGGTGAATTTCTTTGTAAACTTATCATTATAGGGGATTCCTAACATGGAAAAACCGAAGATTCTTTTGCCAATGGATACTCCACGTGATGATCTAGGTGTGAGAGAAGTGTTACACCTACTTGATGGACAGGTGGTCGATGCCTCTGCGGGCCTTTCTCATGTTGCAGTTGTCACCGATCAAGGGTCGTTGTTCACGTGGGGAAAGGTGTTCAGAATTATTAATATGTTCGCTCACTTTTTTCTAATTATCATCAGCCTTCTCTAACAGCAATGATTCTCAGGGTCTTGATTTCCAACTCGGACATGGCAATAAAACGGAGCGCAGCGAACCGCATATTTTGTTCGATCCTCGTGATGTAAAATGGAAGCTTGTAGCGTGCGGTAGGCAGTTTTTCATTTTTTTATCCCTTGGGTTTTTGCGGGCCAATTCACAGCCTTTGTTCGCGAAGCATTTTCTCTTTGTCATCGAAGAAGTGTAGTTTTTCAGAATTACAAAGTCCAAACAGTTGTCTGCGAGTCTGTGATCAATCACTGATTCCTTTTGTCCGCCTTTTGCGAAGATTTTGAGTTTAATATTATGGGTGTAATGATTTAGTTTCAGGTGGGAACCACACTATTGCCGTGTCAAAAGATGGTCGAACGTTTGGTTGGGGTCGAAACGATTATGCTCAATGTGGCGTACCATCAGACAAAACTCCATCCATAACCAGAAAATATTTCTATCAGCCCCCGAAGGTTTGTGTCGTTCTTTGAGTTTTTGTTTGTTGTTTTGCATGCTGATGTTTTCTTCTGCGATGCTCCATAAGAACTTGCAGAAAAGACTGAATGTAAACGTTGAGTGTTGGTGTGTAATTGTAATGTAATTGGTGTGAGTTCAATCAAATGGTTATTAAACATTGTGTAAAGTAATATGGCACTTAATTGGAGGGGAAAGGAAAAGGTTCGGAGTAGAAAAAGATCGAAATCGTAAGTTTAGAGAATGGCATAGAGGAGGGGAGGGGGTTATAAGACACTTTATGGTTATTCATGCAATGTTACAGAGTTTAAGTGTCTATTTTTCTTACAGGACGGAGCTGCGAAACGATGTGTTTCTCTGCCTGATGACGCGTCTTTCGTTGTTAAGCCAACGTTGATTCCGGAGGTTGAACTTCGATTCCACGACGAGGGTTCGTTAGGTTTCAGAGGCCCCTATGCATTTTGAAAACTTTGAAGTTTTTCTTGATTGACACCGTTTAAGATAGTGTTTCCACATCATTCGATCAGAAACAACTGATGACTCGCCTTCGAGAATGTGACTTACCTACGATTCAGGTATTCCTTATAACTAGTCGAATCTTAGAAAAATTCACAGATGAATTTATGGCTTCACCTTTTTGCTGTAATTTAACTGCTCTCAGGCTGTTTCTCGTCACTTTCTGTCCCAGCACCCCGATGGCGCGCCCACTTCAAAATCTGCTGGGTTGGATGCCTCTGTTCCAGTTGCTCTGGTTCATCTCATGGCCGGTAATGTACTAGCTGCGATCGAACAAATCGGTCGCGCTCGGGATATTACTCCAGATCCTAAGGTATGCTCTTAGAAAACTGAATTTCTTTTTTTTAAGCTCACCGGGAATAGAACTGGGTATTGAGATAACGCTTTTCGGATGCATGTTTTTCTGAGAAGCTATATCGTAATGATCGAAACTGGCCTTGGTTCCTGTGGAGACTGCGTAGTCATTCATTTTTGGTTTGTTTTTAATGTGTGACCCGGTGGCTTTTCGGAGTTAAAGCTATACCTGAAGTCTCACGCTCTCGAACACAGTGATGCTGATTCATGGCTCGTCCTAATAAAAAGTAATTCACAGCTGTTATTTATGCGTTTTTCGTACAAATTCCATTACGTCTTTCCGAATGATGAAGTCTTGCGATTTTTTTTTTGATTGATGGTGTTGCTTTCCTCTAGGTGGACCCAGCTCTTCGCTCTGTTGCTAGCTTGGCTTGGGAAGTTGTTGCTAACCATGAAGACTGCCAGTCGAAGTCAATTCTCGCGGCTGCATTCAAGTACTTGCCCATAACGAACACACAGAAACGCAACAGCCAATTACGGAGATTATGGCCCATGGTGAGTACCAGAAGTTCTCGTTAAATGTAATACTGCTATATACAGTTTGCGTATAATGTGCATTTGTATTATGTATATGTGTGTATGTGTGAGTTTATGCCTGTTTATGAGTGGATACGTTTTTAACGCTAATAGTATTTTGTAAAGTTGTAATACAATTCAACATTATAGTTACAAATTTTAGATTTTGATTTTTGAATTAGAGTTCATAAGGAGTTCAGCCAGTAAGAGGTTATTAGAAGGAAAATTCTGATGTTTGAGTTGATGTTTGAGTTAACATGGATGTTGAGCTTTTCTTTAGTCGTTTTCGCTCCTACTCCCAGCTCCCAACGTTCATGAGATCTTGAGGAATTGATGCGACTATGTTTTCGAAATAGAAAGTATGGAACCGGCGACGTGATTTATAGCTACGATAAGGAGCGTGTACGGATTCTTTGTAAGCGCTTCTGGTGAAAAAAAAACCTTCACCTGACAGTATGCCTGTCTTATTCTTATGTAAAAATGAATTGAAAAGGATTATCCTGTTTCGCAGGCATCAAAAAACTTTATTTGAAACTGTTGCAACACGCCAGCTACACAACCACCTCAGTCTGCAGCTTTTATAGCTTTTTCCAGATTTGATACTGCCTAAATCTGCAGCTGCAAGGCCTCTTAGCGCTATTTAGTGATATCACCTGGCTGGAAAAATCTATGCGTTAGTGACGATCTGTTTAGTAAATGTTTTCTGGCCAGTGTTCCATTGCTGTTACGATTCTGACTGGAAGGGATTGTGTGGCGCTTACCGATGAAATTGATGAAAGGCAAAGTTTTCCTTTTAACTAGATCCATATTGTCAGTTTTGGATCGAAACGGTATTGAGTAGCGAGACTCCCATGTCCCGAGTGGAATTGTATTGTAGTTTGATCAGTATGCGCAATTTTAGGTGTGGGACGAACCTGGCGTACAAGATGCTCTGTCAGCGGATGAAAAGCTTGACATCCTGGAAACATGGGTAGCTCCAACGAAGTGTATAACAAATGTTGAGGTAAATCTGTAATCGAACTCGTCTTCGAGATAGTGATCAGAAATGTTAATTCCATTTTATCCTATTAGATCAGGGAATCTTCTTGAGGAATTAGAAATTTCATATCAGATCCCTGGTGCAGCGCTGCGTTCCTTTGGAGGTAACAACTACTCCAAAATTCGAGTATGGGCTAGATGTAGTCATGTTGAACCAGCTGTCGTTGGTGTACCTGCTTCGGATTGCAGTGCATGTGCTGAAGAGTGGGCCGACATGATTCGAACCACACTGGGCAATGAAAGTGTTGGTCGATAAGTCATAACCGCTAAGTCATTGTGTTGTTGTTATGTCATTGGTTGAGTGTTCTATACGAATCAGTGGTTTGTTTTCATTTATTAGGATCATTTAGAAACAATGTTCAAAAGCCCTAAGCTGCAGAACCTCGTACGGGTCTCTAAAAAGTGCTAGTTAATGTGCTCAATGTATAATAAGTCATACTAGATCTGATTAGATGTATCTCTATTTTCTACCGCTTGTAAGTCAATTGCCGAGTTCTTCACCAACGTTCAAACCCTAATATTTCGTGGAACTAATCCCTAGCATACGGTGTTTCTTTTACTATTGTGCCTCATTTATACGGGAAATGATATTTTCATCTTTAGCGCATGGCTATTGTAATAATGTTAATGTATCTCATAACGTTTAAAACTCACTGCTTCTACATACTTCGAATAATTACATACGATAAAGATAGGAGCGCTCGACGCTTATCGTTCTCATCTGCAAATGTCTCAGATTTTGATCGAAACCATGAAAGCGTTCAGCAAATTGTAGTGAACAGTGTTTGACCCGAGCAACGGCATCAGTGACCGCTCGATGCAAAGACATTGTTCTTACTGTAGTTCACACACCTACAGCTGTGTAGTTGAAGTCGTCTTATTTCTTCCTATTAATCTATCTATTTTGAAGTATAGTTTTGGTGGTAAGAAACTTATTACGACGTATCAGCTAGAGAATTTGATGAAGGTTCCCGTCAAAGATTTCTCAAATGTCATTTTTGAAGAAGCCGCGATTATCCATTGAAGGGTTGGGCATGATGATCTACGTAAGGGAGTCGTACAGTTGTGTCCGGGAGAGTCAGATGCTTCAGTGCTGTCCAGCCTTTTTCAATTGCTTACTACAGCTACTTCTGGTTAGAACGGTCAAAAAAATTGTTTGATAAGCTATCGGTCGATGTGTGACCCGTGATATCACACACATACAGATTATGAATAAGGAACAGGAGCATCGCTCAAATTATAATCTTTTTTCACAGCATAAATATGCTATTTAATACCTCTGTGGTGTTTTCCTATTGCGTTTTGCTGACGGCGCACCATGACTCGATTCCGATCTAGTAAAAAGGAAAGATTGAATTTAGGAAAAATAAGATGACTCCTGCTAACAATTGCTCCTCAACAGCATTGCAAAGGTACCCTTTCACTTTTTTAAATGAGTGCAAAAACAGGGCTCCAACAGAAAAGGTATACCTCGACCAAAATATCACCACCCCAATTCTTTCGATGGAATCTTTTATTATAGAGGAGGAGTACGTCGAGCGGACTAGGCATAGGGAAGTGGTCGATACAACTGCTTGTGGTGAGGGGTCGATTAAATGTCATTGCTCCTTTACTGCTAAGTGGATCTAGTCCCCTATTATCTGGCACCGGAATTCTGATCCCCTCACTGTGATCCCTCGCACTCAGCTTTACCTTATTACTACACTACCTCCCTTCCGAAGTCTTGTGTACGGATTCAACCTGTTTCACCTTGATTAGTATTAGCACCCCGAATACAATGAAATGAATAAGCTAAAACTCCTTTCTATACTGCACAAGAGTCAGGTAAGTGAAATTCATTGCTTATTCACAACCTCATCTCAAGAATGTGAATGTGGAAACGTTTGGTTTGGTCTCTACAGCAACAAAATCAATCCGAGCAATTTTAAACGCTTTTATCGAGTCAGACAAATCATTGTTATACGATGATCGAATCAATTTTGAAATAATTTTCATAGGTTTTTCTTCTACATGACGACGCAATTTTCAAGATTTCCTCCCCGACGTTCCTTGTAAACTCGGAGCTCAGCTTCCTCACGCATAAGCTTAAACGAATTGCGATTTGAAAAAAAAAAGTCTTTTCACAACTGAGGCCTCTTAGGTCTTCGCATTTCAGGAAATCGCCTTTTTGCAGATTCTGAGTGGTTTCTAGAATGTTTCTACTTTGCCCTTCAGGGAAAGTAGCGAATGCAGAAATATTCCTTTTCTAGCTCAGCAACTGTTGAAAACAGTTTCAAATAAAGTCCGAGGTCCCAGTTAGCGACTCGTTTAATTGGGATTACATAAGTCTGGTTGCCTTGAACCCAGATCGATTAAATTTTTTGGGATACATAACAATAATAATAAAGATAATAGTGAGTGAGCATTGATATCAGGTGACAAAAATTGATGATGAGTTATAAGAACCGAAATTACAGGCCCCAAAAAGATATTAGACTTTAATATTTGAAGGGCAAGAACCACTGAAGTGATAAGCACCATCCATGGTAATTTGCACTTCAGAAGCTCTCTCATTCTCGTCCGAGGTGAACTTGGAATTCATCTGGTGGACATTTTCAGAAGAAGTAGATTAGACCGTCTTCATTCGAAATTTCGCTTGACTCAAGCTTCATACTGTTGTTCCGAAAGTCCATGGTCCTTTCGCCGCTAAATCCTGTTTTTTATTGGAAGGTAAAAGAGCAGCTAGCTTCAAGAAACAACCCCCTGAGACTGGCACCTGTACGAATAACGTCGTTTCCCTAGTGAGTTTCCGGGAAGAGTTTGTCATCAGTATCATCGACAAGAGAACAACAGACATGTCGAAAGACTTCACGGTAGTGCCGGGGAAGCGTAGTATCTTCGAGTTATCAAGAGCCTTCCCTCTTCCAAAACTCTCCGGCTGCCACGCCATCTTGAAATCGGAGTGCATACAATCACAAGCTGACATCTGAACTTGCGAAGTTATGCAGAGAAGCAATAAAGGAGGATCTGCAAAAGGTAAAAATACACGTAGCAGCACCGGGAGACGCTAGGTAACATCACAAATATCCGTCGGAACTTAGCTTATTGCGAGGTCGAGTTTACTTCCTTTCGTTCAGGTCATCCAATAACTGTTAGTTGGAACTCTTCGCAGCCACGTCCATTTGCCTGCCTACCACTTAAGCAACACTGATCTGTCGCTCCATCAGTTTCGGTTATCGTCAGAACCCTGGCTCCTCGAAGCGCGTGGGAATGTGAGCCATTAACAGCGCGGATAATCAGTAAGACTAGATTGCTGCACTCCTACTTGAGAGAAAACTCAAGATCTATCGATCCACAGCATCTTTCAATTTACAAAATTTTCACGCGATGGATAGAGAACAGAATTGGTAGAAGACTGGGTGAAGGACAGCTATGCGAACGAGCAGGATTCTGAAGTAGGTGCAAAATGGCGGTCTCTCTTTAAGTCATCGATTTAAGAGAGAACTTGACGCTGACGAAGTAAAAGGATAATCTGAGGCCCAGTGACTAGGATGCTCCTGCAAAATAAAGCAGGGTACTTCGTGAAAGGTACAACAACTTCACGAGCAGAAACTCACGATTCTACAAGGTAATCATCGTCAACGTTATGAGCAGGGCTCTACTAGCAGTGGCCACCGATAGAATGTGGCAAAATTAAAATAAGTAGTTGACATTTGGTGTCAGTCCTCTAGCCGAAAACGGGAGAGGGAGAAGGGAAGAAAACTTTTCCGAGGGTTTCATATCTCATGAAACTTTGTGCACTGAATTGAAAACGCTTCGCAGAGTTTCTGCGGACCCTTTCAATTCAGTGCAGGACTGAGAGTGAGTGGTTTGTACAAACTCCGCATAATTCATCTATTTGTGTACATTTACTATCCCATCCAAGTGATCTCAGTTAATCTTCAACAAAGCGCTACAGTATGGCAGAATCTTACGTCTACGCGCAGTCGCTCCTCTTCCGCGGCCAGCTTCTCGGTTTTATCACGAAGTTCGGCTGTTTCTGTTGCTCTGCAAAGCAAATATCTATGAGAGTTTACTTGAAAAGAAACATCTTCTCGTCAGTAACCAAAAGGGAATAGCTCTCGTCCTTGTGCTTGTGATGGCCAAGTATTTTGCTGTGACAATAGCTCAAGCAAAACATTCTCTTTCTCAATCATTTATTAGGTGTGTGCATTAAGTTCCGCCGTTTTTCGCGTGCAAAAACTTATTTATTACAAAATTAAAACCAAATGTACATCAACCATTAGATTGCCCATCGTTAACTACAACTTCTTGCCATCTTTCTGGTATCTTGTTGACTCCAGGTCTAAAAAAGTCTTCATCTTTTGAGGCAATCCAGACATCCACCCATTTTCGCACTTCGTCGGCATTTCGGAAGCGTTTATCTCCAAACTGATTTGCATGGACCGGAATGGGTGGTAATCAGAAAGAGCAAGATCCAGAGAGTATGCGGGCTGAACAAGCTGGTCCCATCCAACAACTGCAATTTTTTTAAAAGACATTCTTCGCAACATGGGGTCTGGCTTGTTCGTGGTGGAACAGCACCTCATGATATTTTCTTGCGCATAACGGCCGCTTTTAGATGGGAGCATCCCACAAACTGTCAAGTTTGTGGGATGCTCCCATCTAAAAGCGGCCGTTATGCGCAAGAAAATATCGCCAGCCTTGTGAGACTTTCGCTTCGCGTACTGCGGCGTTAAAACAGCAGTTAACAAACATCAAGTCAAAACAAGTCATATCATGTAAAGCTTACAGCTTAACGGTTCTGTGCTGATATTGGCCGACCGGCTCAACACGTTGTACGTGTGAGTGCTGATAAGCTATGGCATATAAGCCATTAAGAAGGCGAGGGCAAGCGGGGCCTCGGTAGTGTAAAGGATAAGAGCACGGTCCCCGGAAAGACAAGTACGGGTTCAAGTCCCGTCTGAGGCTGAAGTTTTGTCCACAAATCGCCAGCCTTGTGAGACTGTCAAGTTTGTGTTCGCAGCGGTCAGCAGTAACAGTTTCCCTCGGGCTCATCAACTGACAGTACACAACAGCCTTTTGATCCCACCACCAAATGCACACATAGCATTACTTTTTGCTTTCCGCTTTCCTTGCAAACTCTCGAGTAAAGAGAAACCATCTCAGGAGGTTTATTCAGATAGAGCTAATACCCTATCGTACAGAATATGACAGGATTCATCGGTAAACCTTTAACATGGTTCGCGGCGGAAATTAATGCACACACCTAAGATAGAAGGATATCTAAAATCACCTCTCTGCTAATTGCTTTTCAATGACTTCTTTCAGCTTCTGTGTTTGGTCAATATTTTTCAAAATCGTTTTGGTATCTGCATCTAACAATGATATCAAATCTGTAATTCACAGCCCTTTTGAACATACATATTACATGTGAACACTTCTGGAATTGAAAACCAAAAAAAAATTTACACGCTTCTCTCAGCGCAATAAAAAAGTCTACATCCCATGAATCCCGGTGATAATCGATCTCCCATCAACGGACTCCAGAGACATGGACTTTGCAACGCGACTGCCAGGAATTTAGTGGATTCCCCTCTATTGAAGACAACCGCTCCGCGCCCAGCTTGCGGTTCCGTCAGAATGATGACGCTCATCTTCCCTCCTGTTCAAGAAATTCAGAAGATGTCCCTACTTGGGTGGTCTGACATCATAATGGAAATTTGAACAATGGGCTGGATATTTGTTGTTAGTGTCATACTCCCTGAATTTCATCAATGAATTTACATTAATCTTCAATGCTGAGAAGCGTGTGATGCTCAAAGTTTATAACAGTCTCAACGAGTGCAAAGGCCTGCCACTCGATGTACGTAGAACATAATGCATCTTGTACCATCATTGCCTCTGATGAGACTCGTAACCGTGGTGAGCGATCGACACAACAGAAGTCTTTTTTATTCGTTTAGTATTCACGTCCAGGGCAATTCCATAATTTCTTGCTCATGCCCAGAATTACCTTTTAACTCTTTCACTTTGTCAGCTCCTTTGGAATTACTAGCATTAAGAAGTTGCCGAACAGCTGCGGCTGCATTCTGAAAAAACTTCGTCTGTGTAACAAAACTGATGACATTCGGACCATTCTAAAAAAAA